TCTACAAATGACCAATTATGTTTCAGATTCATGAACCATGACATGAATCAATTTTGAATCATTTCATGTTAGATTTCGACCTGGCCAGAGAGTACGAGAGGGGAAGTGTAGGTCTTTTCCAAGCAGACAGGCAGACTGGCGCCTCTGAATTCCTGGTCTTTCTCCTCGGCGAGACGACAGAGCTTGAGAAGACCGCTATCCCGGAAATTGCTTTAATCTGGTACGACAAAGCAGGCCGTGCTGTTACCCGTCTATCCAGCAGTTGAAGGACATACATACGAGGCACCAATTCGTCTATTAAGCCAGCCAGCACGTGGAGACCTTGGTGGTGGTGCTAAGCACCAAGCACAAATTTATCCCAAACACATAACATTGCTTACTTTTAGCTTGAATTTCCTTGAGCTTAGAAAAAAGTTCTTAATTTTAGGGTAAGTTCCATCAAAGTAACTAAAATCACAACCAAATAAAAAATTAAAAGCATGTTCCTAAATAGGGCGTAACTGGACTGAAAAAGAAAGCATATTTTCCGAAATCCAGAGTATATTTTTTAAAAATGTTATATTTTGCTTTTATATTTTTATAAGATTTAATTGTATAAATAAACAAATTTTACATAAATATATTTAATCTGAAAGCTTACTTAAAAATTAAACTTAACTTAATATTTTTTTTATTATTTACGAATTGTATTTCTGCTTGTGGAAACTTTAATCCAGTTAGCTTTATTATCGTATAGTCCTGTTTCTGTAAATCTTCGTAGATGTTAGGTGTTTATTATATTTACTTCTTAGTGTAAATTGTAAAGTGTAGTTTTTAGTGTAAAGTGTCAAAGTAACATATTTCCTTCATTCCATATGCAAAATTGGGCTCAAATGCATATACCAGTTTTCTTTTCTTTTATAAATAATGCTCCGAAGTTTTATCAATGCATGAAAAATACCATTTACCCTTTGAGAATGATAATTAAAAAGCTCTTTAACATATAATTAGTGAATATATAATTATATTTAATATGTAATTATTTATAAATTGAATGTCCTGAAGCTCAAAATATTATATGATATTTCCAAAATTTATACACATATGTATAATATTTTGCGGGATGTTACATTTTGACAAACATTTATGCGTTGCCTAAAAAAGAAGTACTTTATTGGCCCTGACACTTGTACTAAATTGTAATAAGATATGATGATATGATGATTTTGGCTTAAGAGACAAGTTTTTTGGGGGTCGTTCCACTGCAACAAATAAAGGATTGCACCTTTCAAAAACCGCTTGCCTTCCACACGTTTAACTTCTTTCTGGAATCGGCAAGTGAACTTTAGTTGCCGCGTGTTAGTTATTGTCTAAGTTTTTACGTAACAAACTTTTCTTAAAATTAGAAAATCCTTCCTAATTTTTAGCCTTTTTTTCTTGAACGAATTTCCAAACTAAAGTCAATTTCTTATACCCGTAGTATAAGAAAAAGTCAACAGTAAATAGATCTGTTGATGTATAACAGATTGTTTACAGGAATCGAAAGTAGATTAGAATGCTGAATTACCGGCGGAAGACCCTCGAATTTCATTGCCAAGGAGCGTATTTCAGTGGAGCGAATTAAATGCGACATCAACGCCATTGGATTATTGGCTTATTTGGATTTAATTTTGAGTGCCAGTTTCCACACGCCATAAATCAAACGCTTCAAACTGCCGCCGCTCGGATTCCGAATGCAATTACTCAATTAATTTGAATATAATTGTCACAATTTTCCACTTGAAACCGCACAAAGCCATAAACCGATGGATATAAAACAGAGACACCCAGAACTTGGGCGCATTGGCGGGGCAAATGTAAAACGAGATCGCAATTTTATGCGCACATCAAATAAAAATGTACACAGCGCCTCAATGGATTTTCCGATAAAATGTCAAAGGCTTTTATGGTGGAATTGTGCCGCAGTCACTCCGCCATCCACTTGACGGCATGGATCTGGATCTGTGGCAGTGACAGCAAGAGTGAAAGGCGAAAGGCTAAGTAAAAAGGCGCAGAACGGTAAGAGTCGACTACAAGATACCTCTGAAATTAACGAATTTATTTACAAAATAATGTGTAGTAATTATAGAATCACTACTGTGTAATGCAATTGCGTGGCCATTAAAAATGTGTGTGATTTTCATATTTCGAGCTATTATATTCTGAATTATATTTATACCCTTGAAGATGGTATATTGATCTCAGTCAAAAGCTTGCAATGCAGTAGGGACCTTTGATACCCTACAAAAACAGGCGAAGCGAAATAGCCTACACAAACTAGTCCCGCAGTTCTAAAGCTATCTGCATAAAACTTTTCCAAAAGTGTTATTTCTTTGGCATCTAGTATATAAGTCGGAAGTGATTAGGGTATCATATAGCTGCAATAGGAATAATCAAAGAAAACAGGGAATGAAAATGTATCTTCCAGGTCTTTTATCTTAAGGTGTTCTTACCCGGTACACACCAGTCTTTTAAACTTGATTGTTCTTTAAAGTTATAAAAAAGGTGTAAAATAATATGTTAAATATCTGTTTTTAGTAGTTTCCATTGATAGAATCTTATTTAAAATTTTTAAGGACGAATACATTTTGAAATAAACACAGTATTTTAGAAATATATATTTAATATGAGAGAGAAACGCGAAGAAAAGACACTAGCGCCTTATACTCATTACTTCCGGGCTTGCATAAGGATTTAGTACCAGCTCAGGATAAAATTACGCAATTGATCTGGCGGCATTATTCAAAGCGGGAAATGGGAAACTGTATTGGGCCCAAAGCCACCGATGGAGCTGCGCTATTGTAGCGTTTTCATACTGTTTATTTATTGTTGTTAATAAATCTTAATTTGCTTACCTTACGCCTGCTTTGGCGGCCTGACATTGAGGAAATGCAAACGAGCGCAGTGAAAGCAATCAGGAGAAAGGGGAAGTACGTAATGGGGTTGTGGTGAAGGGGGAGTGGGGGAGAGGAGGAGAGGGGCGCAGCTGCGACAGCGGCGCTTGATCCTTTGATCCCCTGACGGAACATGAATTAAACGGCGCTTCAGGGCGAACTCTATCCTGGCTTATCGCCAACTCCCCGATCCTTCGTGTGATATATGGGAATGACAAATTCTCCACTTGAGAGTTGCGCCGGTCTAGACTCCAGACGGGGGACCCAGATCCTCGACGGAGGGGCGCAAGTCGCCGCAACATTGCCGCCGACATTGAAAGACGAGACCGTAATTGTTTATGGGTCGCATATTCATATTCCGCCTTCGCGACGGGGCGTGGCTGGTCAGTGTGGTCCATTAGGTCATGTTTAGTGCCACTTGACATGCATTATCCTCCGCCTGCGAGGGCGTTTTGTTGGCAGCTCCACGGACTCCTCCTTGGGACGCTGGAAGCTGAGTAATAACGGCCTTCAGCAGAAGAATTATCGCTAACCTAAGTCATTTTCTTGCAAATATAACATAGAAAAGATTTAGATAGAGAATATGGCTTTTAAATTCAATTAATACTTTTAATACCACATTAATTGCTTATATTCTTCGAGGTATGTACAATATCTTTTTAGTGCTTGAGAGCTGTTTCTGTCTAAACTCATAATGAACAAGGAAGAACGGTAAAGTCGAGTTGCCCGGCTGTCAGATACCCTCTAATCATTAAATTATTCATACGGACGGACAGACGGACAAAAGCCATCACGATCTGGAATATGTATTCCAGATGTACTGTAAAGGTTCGGAAAGGCTTCCTTCCGAATGGAGTTAAAATTATAAGAAGCCGTCGTTTTCAGTGCATTCAAAAGTTTTGAAGATGTTATAACAAGTTGCAAACTAAAACTGCAATTCCTCCTATACTCACTGTTAATATGATAATTTACACAGTGCGCTCAAATAGCGTTTGAAGTCTCACATTAAAAGATATTTTCATTGAGTGCAGTTGAGCCAATCCGTGATCCCCGTGATTGACACTTAACCCAAGGCAACCAAATCAGAATCGGAGTATGCAGCCGACGGCTAACCCCAGAAGCTCCGGCTGTCAAAAAAGAGGAAACTCAAACCGAAAGTGTGATCAGCTGCACTTGTTGGTCTGTGGCTGCAACCCCCCGTTCACCCGATGACCCCTGGCATGTGTTTGTGGAGTAATTGATATGCCACTGCCACAACACCACCGACACCAGTGATCCACCACCAGACACAGCCCCCAATGAAATATTAGCCTTTGCCCGATGGCTGTCATAAAATCCCGAGGAGCAGCGGTTGTTGTGCCCTGCTTTTCGTATCTGAAGGAGAGTATCTGTATCTGGGGAGGCAGGAAAACATTTTACAGTTGCATTGAAGCCACTTAAACGTTTCATAAATGCAACCTTTGTAATGTCTGCCGCCAACGCACTTCCCCTTTCCCCCTCCCCAGGAATCCCTGCGAAAAGCAGAAAAGGGAAAACATTTCCATTTCCACTAAAGCGGAAATTGTGGTGTTTTCATTCGCCTTCGAATTCGTTTTTCATAAAACTGATCGCCCGCTCCGATAAAATTGATTTATGCGGCGATCGGCGGCAATTATACGCAGATGCGGTGCCTAATGGATCGGTGGCCGATCGAAAGCTGTTCATGAAGATATAAATACGAGTGCGGCCGAGCAAGGAGTCATGGGATTCCGTGGTGCAAGTTTTTATGACAGGCCGAGCAGAAATTCTGATTGATCTTCAGCTAAAATCAGTTGTATTGTGTTGAGTTTGCAAGATACAGAAGGATTCCAACCGAAAATGGTTCGAAATGTAATAAATTAATTTGAAGTATTCCCTGATTAAAAGTCGAAATGTGTGCCCCCCAGTTTAAAGTATGAAAAATTACCTTTCTAACGTTTCTAAGTCCAAGAAACCCGTGATATTTTTTTGTGATCATACGAATCAAAACAGACAGTCACCCCAATGTAAAATACTACATACATACATACTATATCCTTAAAAATGAAATATATTTTCTGAAATGGCTGGTCTTAAGCTTTATTTATTGTCCAATATATACATAAAACAAAGTACTAGAGCTATGAGGCGTTTTCCTTACACTACAACTTGTATTCTGCTTGAAACTGCAATAAATTAGAGACTCGAATCCTTCGTCCTGCGAGCTGCATACTACATGTGCTGCATCTGCTGCTGCTGTGCATGATGCTGCTGCTGCTGCGATTGCTGCATGGTTGGGGGCCACATCACGTGGTTGGGAATCGGGGGAGGCAGAGATGTGGGCGAGTGGAGTGGCTCGGACTTCAGCTTGAGGTGCTTGGCGATGCCCTCGCAGTCGATGTCGCCACGTTTCGATTTGTAGCGGCGATTCTGGAACCAAATCTTCACCTGGGTGGCCGACAGGTTGAGCTTTTGGGCGATTATCTCGCGCTCCGCACCCGTCAGATACTTTTTCAGCCGAAAGCGACATTCCAGCTCCAGTACCTGTGCCTGGGAGAACAGCACCCGAGGCTTTCGCTTCATCCTGGGCTTGGAGGAACCACTGTTGCTCCCTGGGTTGCTGTTCCCACTGATGCTGTTTTTCCGCAGCTCGGAACGCGAGGAGGTAACCTGGCTGTTATCCTCTGAAAGATGGAAAAGTTCAAAATATTCAAACGATGATTGGCATATAAGGTTTTATAGAAACATTTCATAAAAGTGTTGAATCATTACATTGTTATGCAATGTTTTAAAATATTTAATATTTCTTTTCTATTTACTTGACGTTTTTATTTACGGAATGGAACTGTGTATTTCTGGGATACTGTAACATTAACCTTATCATCTTTAAAAGACCCCTATGTTTCAAAAAAGATGTATATCAAACTTAACATTTAACTCCAAAGGATCTTTTTATATATTCCCAAAATCTTGCAGATACTCACTCTTTTTGGCGCCTTCATCGGCACTGTAGATGCTCCTTAGGGAGGACGAGTTGCTAGCGGTCTCCATGAGCCGCTGCGTCAGGGGATTGCCGCAGAGCTTCTGCGTCGGAGCTTGCAGGCTGTCCACCTCGGCGGAGCTGTTGAGGTCCAGGGTGGGCGAGGGCGTCACGTAGGGCGTGGGTATGTACTCGCTCTTGATGCCCACCGCCGAGGGCGTGGCTCCGGCGTACACTTCTCCGGATCCGGCGTAGTTGTAGTTGTAGGAGGCGGGAGTCTGGTAGGCCGTGGCCGAGGCTCCGGCGTAGAACTGCGAGGCGGACATGTTGTAGGCCGAGGCCGAGTGCTGGAAGCTCTGGTGGGGATGTCCATGATGGTGCTGGAACATGTGGGCGGGCATTCCGTAGTCCTGGTATCCGCCGTACAGCTGGTGCGGCGGGGGTGGCAAGAGCGGCGATAGGGACGCCGAGGTGGTGGTGCCATCATCCAAGTGCTGGTGATGCAGTTGCTGCTGCGGGATCGGCAGCTCGGATTGCTGATGCTGTTGGTGGTTGAGGTACTGATGGGGATGCTGGTACTCACCGGCGCCGAAGAGCGCCGAGGCAGTCGCCGCGCTGCGGGAAAGAGGGCAAATGGAAAAGCGCACGGTTAGAAACGGGGCAACACACATATACGAGTATGGCCGCCATATGTTGCATCATGCCGGACACAGCGGCTCCCCGGGCCGAGGACTTTTGCCCACTTCCTGCTGGCGCGACAGGATCCATGGTGACATCATTTCATGGCTCATCAGGCAATTAAGGACGCCCCTGTGCGGCGGTCCACACATGCGAATCACACATGTTGACCAGCCCAGAAGGGATCGGGCGGACCAGCGATCGTCCTGACTTTCGACTGCCTGCCTCGGACCGTGTTGTTCTTATTGTTAACACTGTGTCTCCTCGTCTTTGTCTTCGGCCTCTTGAACAAACAACGATGATTTGTCAAAGCCTCGAGCTCGACGCTCAGCGGTCCCAGATCCTATTTGCAATTCATGCTTTCTATGTGTTTTCATAGGATTTCTTCTGCTACGTCTCGGCGGAAGGTTATCAAAATATTATCTTTCGTTGGAAAATTGGTAGAAATTAATTTTCCTATGGAGCCCTATTAAATAAAAATAAATACATGCGATTGGGAAGGGCAGGGGCGCTGTCTTCGAGAAGAAGTCACTGACAGGTAGAAGTGGTAGAAATAGCCATACCAGCCAGTTGATAGCTAAAAATGGCTAACTAACAGTTGGTCGGGCGTTTAAGACTATCTGAACTGCACAAATACCTCGTAACTACAAAAACTGATTTTAAGAAGTAATTTTTTCAATGTAGCTAGTTAACCGCAGTATTAAATAGTTTTGTTTGGGTACACTGATACGATTCTGCTCAGTGGAACTTGCTGACTGGTAACATATGGAACCTAGTCTTTGGGACTACATTAAACATCCCCGAACTGTTCTTTGGTTGCTTTTGGCCCTCTGTGTATAATTGATTCTAAGCTGCCAAGCTTACCCGTCTAGATGTCCGTAGGAGCCTTCGTAGGCCTCCGTTTGATTGACCATGTTCAGTATATCCTTGACCGAAAACGGAGTGGTATTCAGGGCATCCGCGTTTGTCAGGCTGCCCGGACTGGGCGACTGATTGTAGTGATCGTAGTAGCCACCCGATTGAGCCTGCTGCTGATGGTGCTGCAACATCCTCGCAATGCGATCACTTGGCCACTTGAGAAGCACTTCGATTTATATAGAATTCCAGCAATTTGCCAAATCGCACTTGAACTTGCGACACTTGAATTGGTATCTCGCTATTTGGTAGTCGGGTAATCAGGCGCACGCCCCACGCAACCGTTAGCGCAACCGTAAGAGAGCCGCAACCCCGTGTTCCGCAAATCCGCAGTTCCGTAAACCGTAAACCGTAAACCGTAACCCGTAAGCCGTAAAGCGCCGTTCCGATGCGCACTCGACCGTGTCTGCAATTTGTCAGCTCGATTTTGGTACTGAACGCGTACTTCTTTCACCCCAGACCGCCTCATACTCATACCGATGTGTTCTTGTGTGTGTGTCAGTGTGTGCACTGTGCGCCCACGAGCAAAATGGCCGCCCTGGAGCCAATCACAGCAGAGCATCGGAATGCGAGTGCGGCATCTCGCTCTACGCCTATAAAAAATGTATGGGAATGTTGAAACAAAATAATTTAATGCATGTGTTAATTTATTAAATAAATAAATGCGTTTTTAAGGATTTTAAATATGTGCTATTCAGACTATATCGTGAACTCAGCTCATCACTGCTTGTACGCTTGTATGCATGTTTGAAAGTATCTGTGCACAATCGAGCACATTGTACCTGACTATCAGATTCAATATCCGACTCCTCCAACTGCGCTGCCTGCTCCCCGTTGTTATTGGTTGTTTGTTCGCAGCCACTTTATGCAGATTTTGTTTCGCTACTTGAGCTTAAGTATCCGTATTTATTATCACAAAGTACTTATGTTTTATAGTCCCCATGTATTTACATTTGTCCGCGCTTATTGTGTATAGAACGGTTGTCAAGTGGCGCTCAAGTGCAGATTTTCGCACACTTGATTTTAAGAGTGTACTAAGCTAACAAATAAAAGAATCGTAGGAAATATGTTTGTTTTAAATGTTACGCTCTCTTATGTACATTCTTCTTATTTCACTTGAGACTTTCATGATATAATACGTATGAACAACACGGATACATGTAGCAGTCCGTCTAGCAACAAAACGATTAGATCCGCATTTTTAATTAAGTATCGCCTTGTATGCTTTTTTTCAACTTAATGTTGAAACTCATTATGATTTTAGCTGACATTTTTCAATTTTATTGGATATGTACATACAATAGGTTTTGTATATATCAAAGTCAAGCATAGGCCGCTGCACAAAAAAGTGATTGTATATATAATGGTTCGTATATCGGAAACCTTTTTTTTTATGATTTTTCGACTTGAAATTATAATAAGTCACGTTAACGTGAGTCCTTAGTTTGTGAAAAATCCATCGCTCTGTTTAAAAGATAGGTGGATTTAAAAAATAATGAACGCGATTCTGTTTATCCCAAGTTTATTATCGTGGAGTTTTTTATGTAAGTCAGGTTGATATAGGAAGCATTAGTTCTACTGCTTTAGATACAAATTTCCCAGTTGAACGGGAAATATATGAACCTAATATGTATATGTCGCTAAAAGGAATGTTTTCAATTGCTAAACATCCTCAACGTATTTTACCTAACTACCCAGCTAAAAACATTATGTCAGAAAAACACTAAATCCTGGCTGATTTCTCAAAAACGACTATTACGATTTCTACCAACAGCAATAATTTCCCCTAAATTTCCCTAACTTTTGATCTAAATTCGGTAAAAAGTAACGTTTGAAAGTCATTAGGCTTAATGTTATTAAAATGATAAATATTTCAAAACGTTTTTTGGCCAATCGATAGAAATTTACTAGACCAATAAAAAAGTACAAAATATTACATTTACAAAAAATGTGGCCGTAGCAGTTTTGTGCGGTTTGTGGGCGTAGCAATACGATCGCCTCTAGTTTTTAAACTAGTTAATAAGTGTTTTGTTTAATTTGAATTCAAATAAATTAAGCCTTAGCACGCACAAATGTTCACAACAAAACTGTGTTTTAATGGAGAAACATTAAAAAATTGAAACATAACAAAACATTGTTTATTTAGGGCGTTATTTTCTTAGTTGTCATTTTAACCTTTTCACAACTCCGGAAACTATAGTTCTACAACCTTTTAAACTATTTGTTCATATGGTATTAGTTTTCTAAAAGTCTTAAATTCGATTATTGCGATTTTATTTTATTCTAGTATTAACTTTTTTCAAGAAATATCATTTCACATAAACTATCAATATTCATAAAAGTATCACGATGTGAATATTTTGAGCTATCGATATATTGATACTTTTATATTTTGCCATCTCCAGTAATCCCGCCGACTGGTAACACTTTTAATTTTCACGTCGAAGAAATCAGACGCTTTCTGCGCGTCGCCCGCGCGAGTATAAAATAATTTCAATTCTGGCTTTAGGTACTTATTTTATTGAAGAAATATTTAATCAAGAGGTTAGTATTGACGTTTCAAGTGGATATACACAGCAGTTTGCGGTCAATCAGTGAAATATATGCCATTTTACACACGCACACACACACACACCCACACAGATGAGTGAAATTTCCCAGTTTTTTTTTGCTGCGGTGCATTTTATTTTGTGTGTGCCATTGCCATTTTTCGGCACTCGCTCCTGGCTGTAGTAAACAAAGTTTTAGTTAGTTGCAACATTGATTATTGATCGCGCATTGCACTTTTTCGCCTGCAGCCAACTAACGCATAGATACAGAAAAGTATTGATTTTCGTCCAAGATGGCGGACGACGAGCAATTCAGCTTGTGCTGGAACAACTTCAACACGAATTTGTCGGCCGGCTTCCACGAGTCGCTATGCCGCGGCGACCTGGTGGACGTCTCCCTGGCCGCGGAGGGGCAAATAGTGAAGGCCCACCGATTGGTGTTATCCGTCTGCTCGCCCTTCTTCCGCAAGATGTTCACTCAGATGCCGTCGAACACCCACGCTATCGGTGAGTTTGCACCCCAGATCTGTAACTCTACGTGATTGCGGGCTTTTTCTGAACCTACACTCTCGCATTTCTTGCAGTATTCCTGAACAACGTCAGCCACTCGGCGCTGAAGGACCTCATCCAGTTCATGTACTGCGGCGAGGTCAACGTGAAGCAGGACGCCCTGCCCGCGTTTATAAGCACCGCGGAATCGCTGCAAATCAAGGGGCTAACGGATGTGAGTATATGTGTGCATGACATACTGGTATATCGAATCGGGGGAACAGCAAAGCCAAGCAACAACAACGCAACCAGCGCATCGCCTTTCGCGCCCAATACATACACACGCCTGACGTCTGTATAAGAGCATGGTTTGACTGTACCGAGAAATTTCTCGCAAACGAAATGCCAAGAGGCACGCGTGCCAGAGATAGACAGCTGTAGAGGCTATGCGCCGAGCAGTTGTCCCGCTCTGGCTCGCACGATGGCGACTAATTGGGTGGTTGTTTTTGTCTCGCAGCGAATTCGATGCCAAAGCATAAACATTAATTTGTAGCGGATATAAAAAAACAATTATTGCAATTCAAATCTTTTACCGATGGTCATTAACACATAAATTGGGAAATAACTCTAAATGTTCCCGACTAAAATGAATGTATTTGCAATATATTTTCCCAATTCAATTTTAGTGCAGCTATACTAAATGAAACGGGCATTAAAACTAGAAAATTTATTCATTTCCTCAATCAATTAGAAAATATTCAAAAGAATATAAGTTAATGGCGAGATTTTTTGTTATGTACGTTTTATCAATTCCAAATTACCTACCATCGGAATACTGCCATTAAGAAAAATATGCAATAGTTTTGAAATCGTTAAAATGAAATGAAAATTTAATATATTTTATAGAACGATCCTGCGCCTCAGCCGCCGCAGGAATCCAGCCCGCCGCCAGCAGCACCTCATGTACAACAACAGCAAATACCGGCTCAGCGGGTGCAGCGCCAGCAGCCGCGCGCCTCCGCCCGCTACAAGATCGAGACCGTGGACGACTGCCTGGGTGACGAAAACAAGGGCACCACCCAGATCGTCATCCAGACCACGGCCGCACCCCAAGCCACCATTGTACAACAGCAGCAGCCCCAGCAACAGCAGGCGGCGCAGCAGATCCAAACGCAACAGCTGCAGACGGGAACCACGACGACGGCGACGCTGGTGTCGACAAACAAACGCTCCGCCCAGCGCTCCTCACTGGCGTCCGCCTCCTCGAGTGGCGGCGTGAAGCGCTCTAAGACAAGCACCTCCGCAAATGTGATGGACCCTCTCGACTCGGCTACTGAAACTGGAACCACGACAACCACCCAACTGGTGCCGCAACAGATCACCGTACAAACCTCTGTGGTCTCTGCGGCGGAAACAAAGCTCCACCAGCAATCGCCGCAGCAAGTTCGTCAACAGCAGGAGGAAGCCGAGTACATTGATCTCCCAATGGAATTGCCCACGAAATCTGAACCTGACTATGCTGAGGACCATGGCGATGCCGCCGGCGACGGCGAGGGCACATATGTGGAGGACGACACCTACGGAGACATGCGCTACGACGACAGTTACTTCACGGAGAACGAGGATGCGGGCAACCAGACTGCGGCAAATACGAGCGGTGGCGGAGTGGCGGCGACCACTTCCAAGGCGGTGGTTAAGCAACAGTCCCAGAACTACAGTGAATCATCGTTTGTCGACACCAGCGCGGATCAGGGCAACACAGAGGCTCAAGGTTGGTTGAATTCCCCAGATTTCATGGCCAAAGGCCAATAGATATAAGTATTCAAAGGTCATTGAGTCCGCTTGCGAAATTCAAACACTTAAAAAGATACCTCATTTAAGGATCATATTTTCATTCTAAACTTGAATATATTCCAAATCTATTAGCGTCGCAAGCGGAACATGTCCTTTTAGAGTCCGGCAAAGTACGCTTAATTTTGTTTAATACAAACTTAAGCTATACTTCACTGACTTATAGTTAATAAGTAGTTAACAAGCCTGTGTTCTATTTGAAATCGATAAAGAGCACTAGGCAGATCTGCTGTCTGCATATTTACTAAATGCTGGACGCAGATCGCGCGGTTTTAACTTCATTCAGTTAAAAGGTAAGTAGAGTGCTGACATTTTAAGAAGCTGCTGGGACGGATCCGATGCCATACCGTGGAGCTGAACGCGTAAGGAGCTGCAACTACTCAAGGTAATACCAGCACTCTGGAAACCACCTTCCCATATATTTTTTCCAAAATTTCCAGGTATTTGTAATAATTCCCTCGAGCAAAACGAGTAATTGAAGTAAGCAATCTTACATGATCAGAGAGTTATTATTTGAACATGCGCACTTCTGCTTAAATAACGATCCTCTGGTGATGCTAAGGTCTACTGGGGTTCGTGGTTATTGTAGTTATCTCAATTGTACCTTAAGATGTTGTCTGGATTTGTTCAAGCAACGTAAAAGCTTGCTGATGCAAATCCAGCAACGGCATTAATTGCCGAGTCTTCAAAGTTCATTCGTATTTAAATTTCGTTTTTGATTATTAAGGGTTCATTTCTCAACCGGTTTAACATGGACCAGCAAAAAAGAAAAAGTCCAAAGAACACATCTTCCATTCTGGACGTTAAATCTTGATCGATTCACAAAAGTGGTTAGGTGAAAATAAAAGGTGCTTTTAAGGACATACACTAGGTATGCCCCTCGTTCTGAACGTCTTTTTATTGCATAGTTCATTTGTTCATACAACATTAATCCTACGTCACAAAAAGCTGGTCTCATTTTTAATTTCGTGGAAGATTTTTAAACTATCTTATACATTTTGACTTAATGATATTCTGTGTACTAGAGATTTTGAGCAAATGTTTACGAATTTTTGATGACTGATCTCAAAGGATGTCAAATATTTTTAGGTTGATTTTCTTACTAATTAATCGTGCTAAAGTGAAAAAAGCTCGTTTAGTTTTGGATAATTATGTTTTGTGTACAGATAGTGTACTGGATATTTATAATTAGCCATATGTTCTTAGATTATGTACTGAATATTTATATTATTTTGGTATAGAATAAACAAATGTTTCGTTATGTGTAGAGTTGCCATTTCGTGGAGATTGAGGGCGGCGTTGCCACTTACGGTAGCCCTAATTGAATGTGCAGCCCTGGACCTTCGGCAAGGTGGCAACGCCGTGTAAAATCATAAAATAATGCAAGCCAATTTGTTTTGTTATTTGATTGCATGCTTACTGCAAGGCATATTTGTTCATTAATTATATTCTGTTTGTGACGGTGTGCGTGGTATAGTGTTTACTAAATAATTCAAGTGATGGGGGTTGGTAACTGTGGCACTGCCTGTGTTTCCACCCTCTTGATAATCTGTGATAATGCTCATATAAAACCCAAGCCATGCAAATTCGGAAGAAAATGCTACCGTAAGTTGTAAAATGCAATCCCGCCGCAATTTGGTAAGTGTTATACCACAATAACTGTGGGTCCTTCGGTTCACTGAGTGCGAATAAACTGCTTGAAGCCAAAGTCTAAACTAAACGTTGTTTTATTTCGCCGATCCTAACTTAGCGCTTAAGCCATATACATATGTACGAATATTTATTAGAATAGGTACTAGACATTAGATCTACTATATATATTATGCCCACTAAACCAACTTCCCCGCCTTCTTGTCGCCCCTTTGCCTTCGGTTTCCCTCGGGCTCTTGCAGATACGGAGATCAGTTTCATTCGCAGCCAGAAGAAAAACGCCCAGCTGGTGTTCCGGAACTACATCTACAACAAGAAGCTCACCCAAGCCAATGGACAGACGACCTGGCGCTGTGCGGATGTACTCAAGCTCCGCTGCAAGGCGGTGGTCATCACCCGCGACGGACACTTCATCGACGCCCGGCGGCAGCACAATCACGAGTCCCACGCGTTGAGGATTGGCCAGCGACAACTGTATAAGGTGGAGCAGGAACTGGAGGAGTACATCGAGATCTGCACATCGAACCCCAAGATCTCACAGTATCTCGGCAGCAGTAATATCATTGTGACCGCCAAGGACGGCAAGGACTGCAAGTTGTTCCTGCCCGCCGCCGAGGCCACCGAGATCGAGATGCAGGCCCTTGTAGACGCCGCTGAGGAGGAGATGGACGAGGAGGAGCAGCATGCTGCAGAGCGAGTCCGGGAACGGGAACGGGTGGGCAGGTGGCGGACAGAGGCGGCCAAGCATCGATCCCTGCTAAAGGCAGACCACCCCTAGGAGTTATCAGCTACCACCTAAGCTAATTATTCGTCTCGAAATTCGGAAGGAGTCGATTTCTCTTGGGAGTTTTCAAACATTTAATGTCAATCAGTTGGAAGGTCTTTGTGAAAATAAGAAGGCTATAGCTGGTATTGTCATGGCTTATTCTTTAAAAATAACAGGCAATTGACATTCCAGGTTTCCCTGAAAGACCAAAGACCTTCCAGTTCCCTAATAAACTATTCACAATTCCACATGGCTCAGGACCATTTTGACCAAAGAAATCGATCCGACCAGTCGGAAGTAGGTTAAGAAACTTTTAATTCTGTAAACGTATTTCATATTTAGCTTCTAATAAACTGAGACCAAAACAAAGGATGGTGCTCATTTTGGACTGGATAGCCCCATTGTTATTAACCTGATATCTCAAATACTACTACTGGACTAACCCTTTAAACTTCTTCTTTTCAGATGATGAGCTAGTTTTCATTGAGAGCCCCTGGTCGACGCCGTGCCTGGTGTTAAATGGATACATGTACAACTGCCACAGCCGCAAAAGCAACAAACAGTATTGGCGCTGCCATAACTACTCAAAAAAAGTGCACGAAATGCGCTGTCGATCTCGCTGCGTCCTGGAAAACGGTCGCCTTAAGAGTGTAACGGGCGGACTTCATAACCACCAGCCGCACACGGAGAAGATTGACAAGATCATTCAGCGAAACAAAATGGCAGCGGTCAGCACCGGAAGAAAGCTCTCCAGAACGCACAGCTTCACACAGCTGCAGCTTCAAGAGCAGAAACAGGAGTTCATCGATGAACACCAGTTGACTACCGATGCGGCCACATTGCAGCTGACAGATCAAGAACTGATGCACACCTCCATGATGCTTATGCACGAATAGTTTGGCCATCGGTCAACACTATCCAACTGGTCCTGGCAGTGCAATGTAGTTACTAAGTAACAGTTATTGAAAGTACATATTTAGGAAGTGAACTATGTACACATATTTCGGAATTTAATCATAGTTACCCGGATGTGCATTTTGAAGTGTAGAAAATTTATGAATCGAGTCTAAGTTGAAGTATAATGAAGAAGATTGTGAATATAGCTGTAAGCCCTAAATTTCGATTAACCAATGAAGGTGTTTTTAAGTACATATATTCTTTGCAAACCTATCTGCACCATTCCCTTGACGGCTATGTGATCATGTGAAATAAAGATCTGAACTCATGAAAGTAACCGTGCCTCGTTCTGATCCGATTAGGAGGCGAAGTATCGAAGAGTATGCATAGTTCCCGTTTCCATTGACTAATTCCATCTTTTTCTTTCAGTTCTCACCTACGACGATAGAGGAAAACTAGTCCACGAGGGATTCACTTTCAGCTGTTACTCTAGGAATGCCGAGAAATATCAGGCCTTCTGGCGATGCTCCATGTACAAAAAGTTGCACTGTACTTCGGCGCTGACCACCCACATTAAGTCAATAAAGTCAATCCGAGGATTCCACAATCACAAGCCGCCAGAACGGCTGAAGACATTTGTCCCCAGAGTGGTGGATTGCCCAACTCGCCCTTATAAAAAGGATTATTAAATCATAATAACTGAATTAGGTCTATACAATTAGTTCAATACTTTCTTTAAATCTGAACGATGTTTATATTTCAATTTTAATGTGACATTTTTTATACCGTGTGCAAGACTGACGTTCAGTTAGGAAAACATATAGTTTGAATGTTTCTTATTAAATTTTTACTTTGTATAAATTCCCCAATATATAGATTTCATTTGCCAAATTTCACCCAAAGTTAAATGCATAAATTAGGGAAGCCCAAAAATTAATTAAATGATGTAAGCAAACGACATTTTATTTAAACTATTTAATTGTACACTTTTATTCTATTACCCCTTTAATACATTTAAGTCACTACCATATTATACATATTTCCTCCTCTTCACTTACAGGTTCGATATTTAAAGCTATACGACAAATAGCACCGACTCAAAAACTGCGGCAGGTGCGGGATGAAACAATTTTAGGCACTGTCATAAAACTGGAGCCCGCTGGAAGACTAAACCTAAAAAATCCGGACAATATCATCCGCACCTCGTCCAACCAGCACAACTTTGTGCATGTGGGATTGCCTCGCATGAAGGGAAAATGCGTAAATTGCCTCAAAAAGAACAGGACGGGCCTGAGGAGGATCAACACACTGTGCAACACATGTCCTGGAAGCAACTGGATGTGCGAGCCCTGCTTCGAGGAACTTCACTCATCATTGAATTGAGGAAAGGAGATATAACCCAAAAAAATGCGATCGACTGAATCAAGGTGTAAGTTAAAATTCAATGACGCAAGATAAAAAAGACCTTTATTATTTTGATTTCTGCAAATTCGGCTTTTGTTGTAACCTATCGAAAATTTTAATTTCATTTTGTATTTTACAGTAAGTAAACTTAATCATGGAAAATAAAATTTATTAGTAAACTTTCTTGGGACGCTGAATTCGTTTTATACATTTTGATCATGTAAGTATATTATTCCTAGCATATTTCGAGATAGGCAGATCATGAAAACGTTATTTAAAACTGAGAATGAAAATAATGTTAGCAAATCTAGGAATCTGTGTTCTACTACACCATGACAAACTTTGAGCTTGGTTAATGGAGAGAAATATGGTTACATCCATTGGATAGATTGGCCCCTAGCCCAAGATTGGGTTAGTTATAGTGAATTGGTTGACACCGTCTCAGAATTTTTGTTTATGGCGGTAAAATGATTAGAAAACTATGTGGTTTTAAGTCAAACGGTATTGAAGGAAGCTTCAAGTGTTCAGTATACTACCGACTTCCAATTCAAGCTATACCTATTTTATAAATTTGAAAAAATTGACTGAAAATAGTTATATAGTAAGGAAAAACCTTCCCGTTCAAAGTCACGCTCTCAATTACTTTTTGGATCTCATCCTTTGGCGGATTCGACCTCGTTCCTTCTTCTGCGGCGGCAGGTCGTGATTGTGGGACGCATGCAGTACCTCCAGGCGGTTGTTTTTGGTGGTGCGGATGCGAGCACGGCACTTGGTGGTGGAGCGGGTGGCACAGATCCACTTGGTGCCGCGGCCATTCTCCATAAACTTAACGTAACTATGACCGCTGTAGTTGAGTTTGACAGACTCACGCTGACCCTTGGTGAAGTAGAACTGGGGAACATCACCTTAAAAGAGAATGAATATGTGACCCGGTGCGTTAGTAAATCGTGATTTTTCTTGAAGGAATTATCTCAAGAGTGATGTGGAGAAAGTTCGAAGGTTCTACAACGATTCAATTGCATTGTTTGGGGCTTACGTTTATTAAATGTACACATAATAAATTGTTTATAAGCTGAATCATAAGTGCTAGCTTGTCCGTTTCCTAAAACGCAGTTTTGTATTAATAATTATGGGGAGTAAGCTAAGTCAATTTTGTTTAAATAAAGGCATAACAGAAGGAACAGAATTTAATCTAGAAGTGTCAAAAATGTCGAAAGAAATCATGACGCATTTATAAATTTCAAAAATAAAAAGCAGAAACCTTGGAATATGTTTTTTCACACTTAGTAAAAGAGGTTTAAATATATGTTCTTAAATAATAATAAAAATGTCAATATGGGCTAGTAGTTGTATGTAGCCTTTTTAAATTCATCAAAACTGTCTGGCTTTTGGCTTTCGACGTGGCAAGTTCAAAAATGGAAACTCAAAGCAAAGATATAGAAGCAATCTGACTGCGATTTTTCTTCAGAAAAAAAAACCAACTTCACTTCCGGCGGCTGACCACTCGCGTGGCTCCCCCAATGCCCGTGACATCCGCTACAATTTCTTCGTATTTTAGGTGCATCCCCAGCTCGCTGACATCGATTGTGGCTGGGGATTCGTCTTCCAGTATTGCTCCCGCAATCGCATCGCTGGTCAGCTGAATCTCTTGTTGCTGCTGGGTTGGCTGTTGCGGCTGTGGTTGCCTGGGAGTTGTGGCAACCACCTTGGCAATCGTCTCCACCGGTGGCACGCGGCGCACTCGCTTCTTTCGGCGCACAATCTCTTCGTGCGTGTGGAATCGGTTAAGCGGACAGACAACATCGTTGATGGTGAAGACACGGGAGCGACACTTTTGGTTCCACCACTGGTTGCAGCGCCAGAAGCGCTTCTCCTCTCCCGAAGAAAGTTTCAGTGTCTTCTCGAAGATAAATGGCTGTCCACCGTAGATCAGTTGCATTCGTCCACGGGAAGTGGCCGAGTAAATCGCCACGCTGCTTTCTGTGGATGGAGAGGGTACATATTGGGATTAGTAAATTGTCAACTGCTAGGCTATCGCTATAAATACAGATTCAGAGTCAGTGCAAGTCATTTTGCCAAGTCATGGCTCTTGTATATTTCTCTCATCTTAAAATATAATTATTCTGATTATAGGCGACGCTTCTTTGGAGGATGATTGTGCTCCGGCTGGGTCAGATAAACTTTGTAACGCCCGTTCTTGAGCTTCTTTGTTGAAAACCGAGCTTTGCAAGCAGGATTTCCATTGCGACGACTGCGACAGTGCCAGTAAGTCGTGGCTTCGTGATTGTTGGTCTTTGAGTAGGCATACTTTTTAAACATCAGCTTTATGGTCTTCCGTTGACTTCGAATGACTCGAATGTTGGGGATGAAGTCCATCTGCTTACCGTCCGCATCAAATATGGCCTCCACTGGGAGATGATGCAATGTCGATAGATGTACTGTAAAAGAAACGGTCTAGAATTAGATATGGAATCCGTAGTAAAGTACAAAAATAAAACAAGTTTATAAAATATGCCTAATATAAATTAATAAATTTACTTAAATGCTTTGTAAGTATTTTTTAATACATTTTAATACTACAATTTTTTCGAGGAAAATATCTTTTGGTTTTGATATGTGATTAGGGCTCTCACATTGGGTTCAAAACTAGAACTTGGCAGTGATACCAATGCATAACTTCACCAAATAGTTATTTCATTTGGAGATCATGCTAATCCTAACTAGTCGACGGGCTTTACTTGCTCTACATCTTAATCGATCGTGTGTTAACGCAGAGTGGATTCCTCTCGAGGCACAGTTTCTGGTCATCCACGCGAGTATCAATTTTCTGCGTGGTGTACATTGTGGGGTGTGTATGCAGGTTGCTGGTCACGTGAATAATATCCCCTCCACCGGTGATGCGAGTTACCAGGCGGGCGCGGCACTTGGCCTTGTGGTACATTGAGCACTTCCAGTCCCGACTTTTTTGTCCCTCCCTCAGCTTTTCATTGGGTGTGTAGGTGTTTCCTTCGTGGTAAACAAGATCGGTTCCACGGTTGGAGCGCACATACTGGGCTAGCTTCGAGCTGTCTGCAAAAGATTTTCGAATTTAGTTAGTTCATGGTCAGGGCTTTTAAATTATATGTAAGGATATACGGTTATTATGGTTCTTTTGTTGGTAGTGAAAAGCAGTCAAACATTTTTAAACGGAAACAGCATGTTTATTCCTCTAGACAGCTTGGTACCTGCTACTTCTTAGAGCTACGTCCGCTCACCGCATCCTTACGGCTGTGATTGTGGCCCTCATTCCTCATCCGCACTTTATTCGTGTCCCTATTTACGATGGCGCGGGCCCGGCAGTTGCTGCGAAAGTTGGCGCACTTCAAATAGGTGCGACGCAGATTTGTAGTGCCGATCACGAAGCGGAAGCCATCGATTATCGTAAAACCGTTCTGTCGGCAAACACTACGGTGCCGAAAATCTGTTAAGAAATGTGCATAGTAAGTCAAAAATTGTATGGAATTAACTACAACTTAAAACTAGCATTAGTTTATGGGTAACGTGCTGATGAGTATTAGTTAAGCGAGTCCAAAACCATATGAACAGTGCTCCATTTCACCAAATTGTAACAATTTGACAACGATGATAATACATCTATATTTAAACCATTTAGTCTAACTAACAATTGGAAAATCCTGGTTCGGAGCTGCATGCTTTGCTAAAAGTCGAACATGGTTACTTGCTATTGCGCTTCCCGTGACGCTTTTGACAGCGCGAATGTGGCTTAAAGGTATCCGCCGGGTGATTGTGTCGTCGGTGACTTAGCTTGATGTCGTTGCTACTTTCCCGATTTGTGACACACCTCGCCGGGCAGCGGAGCACGCTGTTGCTGTTCTTGGAACACACCCAGTTGATGCTATTTCGGTACTTGCGTTCCACGGAGTACATGTGCCCCTGGAAGATGAGGTTCTTCCCACCGCGTCGATTGGCCACCAGTTGGTAGCATTCTGCAAGAATTGGAAGAAATTAGTCAGAAGGCCTCCTGAATTTCGCAAGGACACTACCAAAACAACAACGATAGGAGGAGCGGAAGATATAAACTTGTTCAACGTAAACACATTTATTAGACTAATGAGATGGCACAGGTAGTTGTTCGTAACTTAGGGATGGTTGTGGAGCCCGCGCAGTGCCGAGATCCGATTGGACTTGGTCACCACGCGGGCGGAGCACTTAATGTACTTGCAGCGCAGCTTGACGCACTCCCAGTAGCAGACATCCTTGATCCGGCGATTGAGGGTGAAGGGTTTGCCGTCGATGGTCAGCAAGTTGTTACCCCGGTTGCTTCTGGTGAAGCTCACCTCCAGATGGTCAAAGTTCTGCTTGCGGGAGCCACCAGGAGTCTTCTTTTTCCTTGCCACCAGGAGCGGCAGGTGCACCTTGTAGTCATCCTCCTGTTCTGCAAGACACAAGTTGGAGTGGGAGGAACGGGTATTGATTAGAGCGCTCTGACTGATTGATCGCCCAATATAATCCGCCAAGTAATATATGCCTGCTCCACTGTAGTTTCTATACTTTATTAACATTGCGCGCATTGGCGTCGCTTTGAAATCTCGTTTTAACATTTGTACACAACATTTGCTTGAAATTCGAGGCGTCGTTGGCATTTATTCATCTGCATTACTCGGCATTGGGCTCCCTTTCTAGGGAGGTTTGCTTTTTATTCAAAGCTAGGATTCCACCAACACTATTCACTTCAGGGCCATTACAATTTTAATTTCACCTTTTGTTTAATAAATTAACAACCATTTTCGGAATTTATCTTCATTTTTTCACAACTGTGGGCGACATTTTTATAGAGTTGCCAGATCAAGCGTTTGCACCCAGGGCTGCAATATTCGGCAGTACAGTAGATAATGAGCAAACTACTGAAAAATTATATGAGCAACCGGAAAAGAGAAAACCTCATTTCACTAATATGCAACAAGCTGCATCCATGGCATATTTTATTATTACAAATTTTATAAAAATAATATACATATTTCGCTATAAATTAGTAAGCATATTAAAGAGTAATTGGATATGGTAATATTTGAACAGATGTTAGCTTAGCTCAAAAAACAATGTTTTGTGAGTTTTATTTATATAGCTTTGGCAATAACTCTTCTATCGAGGACTCACTGTGAGTTGAGTGCAGCCCTGGCCTGGTAGCTGCCATTTCCTTGTTTTCTGTGACTCGCGTGGACTTACTTTAATAAATAGTTTGTGTGCTAATATGTGAAATTGGGCAATAAATGTGATAAATAATAGAAAAGCTGTTTTGGATCATTGCACTCCAGAATTGCTCTGAAATTGTATGCGACTGCTTCTTAATTAAAATGAAATAAAGGATCCGTACATACAAAACCGAAATATCCGTGTTTTATTTTGTTTATGTTTTTCGTTGACCTTCTAAGTCAAAGTGTTCTAATCGTTTTTGCCAACATGTGCCGTTCCAGATGGACCGGAAAAGGACACTGCCATCCCGAAGAACGCGGAGAATCCAAGGAAAGCAGTAACAGATAGCGTGCAGAAGTCCCCTAGAGATGCTGATGCTATCCCCTTATTCGATGGCAGCCGGGTCTTTGTGTCCAAGGTGGCTCTTGCCAAGGCATATATACCCATGCCGATGATATATACGTGCCGGGTGATGGATCTGGTGATTGGTAAAGATAAGCTGGTGCGCATCGCCCAGCTGGAGGAGGCCACGGACAAGGACCTGCTCCAGGACATCATAAGTACATAATGCAGGCTATGCCCAGTGCATGAAGAGTCATTCTAACCTGTGTTGTATCCAATCTTTCCAGCCCATGTGTGTAAAGTGTTTGCCCTGCGCGGCAACCAGCTGACCCCATCCGCAGTACAGGAGTTCATTGACCACAAGCTGTCTACGCTTAAACTTATGGCGGTCAAGGAGGGGAAATAGTTTAAATTGATTGTTGCATTCGTAAACCGAAATAAATGCCTGTAATAGAACTTCCCTGTAAACCTCTTGTGCAGTAGCTAGTGGTCTCACTTAGAGCTCCCAAAATAACCCCAACTAATGTTTGTGAACCGCCTCTACCTCCCTTTCCAGGTGTCATCCAGTCGCTGAAGGCGCTCTTCGAGGACAAAACCACCAGTGCCAGCATCCAGTACACCACAACGCAGCGAGGCAGGGTGATGCTGGTCTACGAGGGCTACCGGTATGTCGTGAATCGCCAAAGCCTGAAGAACGTCTTCTGGCGGTGCTCACGCTACGTGAAACACAGCTGCCGGGCCACCTTGGTGACCTCCAAAGTGCAAGATGTCACCTTGCGCATCGCTGGCGCTCCGCACACCCACGGTCCGGAGGTCAACTCAATGGATCTCGCGACTGAACTGCTGGACGAATTTCCGGAGCTGCAATAGGCTCTATACGACCAGCAGTTAATATAATTTACTCATAGATTTCAGCTCTACCTTTACCCAAATAAATTAAATTAAATGTATACACAATATGTAGTTATGCGTGTTCTCGTTCTGTACCTACTATAGTTTGCTAGCCTACTTAAAATCCCAACTAATCTGTTAAACTTTATATTTTGCAGTTAAGATCAAAATGGAGCCTTCGCCGACGCCTGGCCAGTCAACGGATGCTGCTGTGGCTGCCTTGGCCGTCACCTATTTAAGCGACGAGGAATCTTTCCGGAAACCATTTACCCTGCCCAAGATACTGGACGGTAAGTTCTACAAGAACATTCAGCCGAACCAGAAGACGCCTGGGGCTATCCAGGCCACCTGCACAACCTGCCATGGACTGATCTCCGGCACCACCAAGTCCACGGGGAACTTTCTTAGCCATATCAAGAGGCGGCACAAAGAGCTGCTGCCCCTGTGTCAACTTTACTGCCAGGCCAAAGCCAACGGCAGTGTGCCTGCGGTTAAAAATTCTCCACCCAACCCGAACCCTGTGGTCACCCCGGCGACGCCAATTCCTGCGATGGAGATGATGACCCAAGTTACGCAGATGCCTCCGCCAACGTACGCCACAGCTTCCACCCACCTCGGCATGCCGGTGACGGTACCTGTGCCCGTCTCCATGTCATTGGCGATGCCCCTCTCCCTGCCCCACGTGCAGACGCCGCAGATGATGGCGCTGATGCAACAGCACCAGGCCCACGGTGCAGTCTTTATCAGCAAAGATTACTAGCCCCGTCGTGCGTGGGCTCACCAAATTCTGTGGTTTTAATAATCTGTTGAACAAATGTCGATGTAGAGTGTACCTAAGGTGAGCGATTTTAGGTGGGCAAGGAGTCTGCAGAATTTTAAGGACATACATATATGCACCTTGTTCGTATAACATAGTAGGAATAATGAACGGTGCCATATGGTTTAAACTTCCGAAAAATTGAATAACACTGTTGAATTGGAAGCTACTAGAACGTCCTTAAAATATTCCAAAGATTGCATACTGAAAATCGATACACCTAAACCTAAGCTAAGTGCAAAATTTTGTAGGTCCTGATTAGCTTAAGCAATTTACAAACCGAAATAAAGATAAAAACATCTACTCTACTATCCTGTTTTAGCCATTTATGCTAGCTATACAATAGATTTGTGCATATTACCAAGACAATTTTCTGACTTAATGTTTTTTGTTTCAGATCGCAGACGTTACTCAAAAAAGCTGTTGCAGTTCGACGGGCCCGCGGAGTTTAATCTTGCTGCTCATAGACGGCCGAGGCTAATCATTGCCAACGAGCACTTTATCGTCCACCGCATTTTGGGCAAGGATAACCTAATCGGATCCTGGCGCTGCATGTATCATCACAAGGGCTGTAAGGCCCGAGCCTCCACATTCATGGTGGACTCCGAGGTGAAATACCGCAGCACGTGCTCATCGCACAACCATAAAAATGTCAGGGCTAAGCTACAAAGTCTAAAGATGCCTTGGGTCTCTACCGACTAGGACTAAACATAGTCCAGTTCTCAAAGTCAAGAACATTCCAACCCGTGCAATGCATAGGTAATATAGAAAGCTTCATAATTCTTCGTAAATATTTACTAGCAACACGAGAAAATTTGAAATTATTACAAGTACACCAAAATTAGCATATAGTTTATATGGATTTCTTGAAAAAGTCAGTTTCTAAATTAAAACAATAACTTAAGGCGGCGTAAAATATCAAAGTATTCATGCATAGCTAAACTCTAAATTAGATTTCAGCATTGACCCACGGATATAGATTGATTTATAAATCTTTAAAAAAAAAATGGGATAAGATCTCTTAACGCAGCTACTCTTAGTGCACAAAATAAACACAAGCTATTTAGTACGCATTGCACCACTTTGAAAGATTGTCTAATTAGAGATTCAAGGAATCTCTCCTATCTTATGTCGAGATCATTTAATCGCAATTGGTTAAGATATTCATCTGAATTTATTAAAAGTTCATATTTTGTACGTAACACAAGCCATTGTTTAAGTCAGTGCCGTGGCCAAAAGCGTCTAAGCAATGAGAATAGAATAAATAATATGACCCGGGACTTTAAGAATTACAAAAATGGTATTTTGAGATCCCAGATGAACAGGCTACTTACCCATCCTAACTAGGCTCGGGACACTCAGTCTAAATGAATGATATACTTTCAAGAACAATAGTAGAATACACTAGCTTAGCCCTAACAGAATTCGGACAATGGGTTGGGAATGTCTAAGGATCGATTAAATTTTGGGCAGCTGGTCTGGGTTGCCCTCGGTATCCATTTTCCAGGAACCCTGGATTTTGTCAGCGGCTGTGAGGGAACTCAGCTTCTTGTGGATCAGCATCCCAGCCGCCTTGGCCGCCTCAATACGCTTGTTGTCGCCCATATGATTGTGTACATCTGAAGATGGAAGAAAGCCATTATGTGATATAAGGCATTTGCTTACTTTTTACGAACCATTGGTTACATAGAGATCATCTCCTATGGTCTTTAAGCGGCTGCGGCATTTTACCGATCGGTTCTGGACGCACTCCCAGTACAGGATATTATTGCTCTTTCCGAAAAACTTGAGATTGGAGCGGTAGACAAAGTTGTTGATAGTCAACAGAGTGCCGCCCTTGCGGCTGATCAGGAACATCTGTGGACCACAGTTTCGGACGTGTTGTGTAACTGAAAGGCAGGAAAGAGCGTATGTTAATTATCATTTAAATAAGGTTTTGAGTACAGTTACGTATTAAGGTAGAGCTTACTAGCTAGTGAAATGGTTTAAGGTCTGATTTATTGACATCGTTTTATTACGAAAAACTTAATTATTTAGAATTATTAGGGGTATTTAAAACCCAAATGAATAAAGAAAGTATAATGTCAAGCTCTTAGGCAGGTCAGATGTTGTACTGTTGGGCCGTTTTGAGCCTTCTTGATCATAGTAAAGTTAATATAGTAAAAAGTATAATTTGAAGTTCTAAGGCATATTCTGTGTCACTTCTTCTTATTCTGCAGTGCCTTTTGAAGTCGTCGCTTGATTTTTTCACGGAAATCATTGGGGTCCACTTCGTCCTCCTTGGCGGGAGTCTTCTCCGGTTCGTCCAATTCGATCTCGTCGATCTCCTGAATCTCGAACTCCTCGAAATCTTCATCCTCTTTGTCGTCGGCATCCTCGAGCTTGGTGGTGTTTTTGATCAGCAGCTCCACCTTGGTGTCCTTGCTCGGCGACAGCGAGGATATGACTCCCGATTCGCCCGGCATGAACTGAGAGGGCAGGCAGCTTTTGTCGCTGGCCTGCATAAAGTGCACGTGTTCGCCCTCGTAAGGAAAGACCCTTTTTTGGTCGCATACCACTCGCACCTTGCACTCCTCTCCGTGCTCACGGTAGCAGCACTGAAATACGGAATAGTCCGCCTTGCGGAACGAAAACTTGAACAGGTGGCCATTGAATATAAGCTTGACACCGCCTGCGAATAGAGCGTGGAATTAGCTTGGTTATCGTCCAGCAGGATTCTAGCCAGGATTCGTACTCACCCTTCGTTGTGGAGGCGTACACCGCAGGCTCGCTTGCCTCCTCATTCAGGGTCGCCGCCTGTAGTTTTTCCAGGAGCTTCGGCTTGGGCGTCTGATCCTCAACCTTAGTTTTCGGTCTGCCGCGTTTACGTGGTGGAATCTTAGTTGCAGATGAGGATGTGGCGGCTGTAAATTGGAGAATCAAACGCAACAGGTTAAAACATCTGGGTAAGATTGGGCTTTGCTGGCTCAAAAATGAAAATAAAACAACTGAGGAGGGTCTTTAGCTGGTTCTTGTGTATTTTATTGGTTTAAAAGCAGGGAGAAATGTACAAATATATAGAATAAAATATTTAATGCACGAAAAACACAGTTTAAAGAAGAAGAGCACTGTACTTTAGAGATGGAATAAATTCTCACTAGGTATCGATGTTGGGCACCTAACACTATCGTTTAGTTATTTACTATTTGGCTCCAAATTATATTTTTCAATAGAATAATAATTATTCACCATTCGAAGAGTTTAGAAGGAAAAAGCGTGAAAGAGATCAAATGAAAGAGAAATATGAACAATTATTCTTTTAATAGTAGCGTTAAAGAGTAACATCGTCGTTTGTTGAGCTGTAAGCTTACATTTACATTTATATTCTCAACAGAATTGTTCAGATATAATATAATGCTAATGTCGCTGATAAATGCCTCTTAAAAAAGTAAAAATAGCAAGAATGTCAGTGAAGTAAAATAAAAACATTGGGAAGCTACATGCAGATCTTTGATTAGAGCTATGTAAAAATAAAATCCGTTACGATTTAAATATAATTAACAGCCGATAACCGATAACTTCCGCTAACAGCACTGCTTCTGCTGCTGCTGGCACGCCATTTTTGTTGTAGTTGTTATTTTTTCGCCGTGTTGTGTTCGCTCCGTTTTTGTTTTTTGGCAAACAAATTACTCGTCTACAGTTAGCAAAAGGTGCAGTGGCTCCAATGTGGCTAGGTGCAGCATGGTAATTAATGTCCGAAGTTGGAAATCTGTGAATTGTCCTGCGAAAATGCAGCTAGTGAGTGCTTGTGACCCTGTGCGGTTGTATGCGCGTCTGTGTGTGTGCACGACTGTCATCTGTGTTGTTGTTGGTGTCTCAAAAAGGAATCCCTCCAAAAAAGTGCCTATAGAGATGTTCTATTTGAATTTAAGGTGAACTTGTGATTTTGGGAAGCAACGTGTTTTTTCTGCGCTGTTAGTTGTAGAATTAAATTGGAAAGTGCTTTGTTCCCCAGGTGAGTCCACCTCGCTGCCACTCAACCCTTCTTGACCACAAAAAGGATGTGTAGCCAATTACTAAAATAGTAGACTATAAATCGACTAGTAACCAATTAAGATAAAATAGCTACAAACTCCTACAAGTGATATATATGAGCGGCTATAAATAGTAGAGTGTATCGGGAATTGCCTGCAATAAATAGTTTACTCAACACCCCAAACTTCCATGTGTTTTTCTGTGGGCTATTACAGTTAATTTTTAAGCCACCCGGGTAATAAAGCCAGTTTCCTTGGATCCTCTATTACAGGTCAGTTCATTGGGGATATTCCGCGTGGCCAGTGGATCGATAAACATGAGTACTTCTTCTTGAAAAACCAGAAACAGGGTTTCAACCTGGTATTCAATGGATACATGTACAAGAAGGAGGCCAGTTTCCGGGCCACTGTCAATTGGATCTGTTCCGACGGAAATGGCAAGCGTCTGAACGAGAACAAGTGCTCCGCGAGGGCCATCACCAAGTTCGACGGTGGGATCAAGCTGGGGAAGAATGCCCACAACCATCCGCCTCGATTTTTGGGTGGCAAGGTGCCCGCTAAACTAATGCCCAAGGATGCATTTTACCCGCAATATTAAAAGAGATTACAAAAACCCGAAACAATGTCATTTGTACATAAAAATATAAACAGTTGCATGCAATACGTACATTAAGCATTCATGTGGCAACCGTAATTTTATCATCGTACAATCCTTCATCTTCTCCAGCAAAAGACCAGAACAAGGGCGTCCGCTTGAAACGAACCGCTCAGGGCGAATTCCTGATGGTCAGCGGGAAGTCCTACAAGAAAACCCGCGCCATGCAGTACCGCACATACTTCCATTGCTTGACCAGGAACTGCCCGACCTACTATGTGCTCGTGGAGCTAAGCCGACGACCTCAACTCACCAGGCATCATGAGCATGCCCAGCACTGTCTGCAGTGCTAGTAGGATGTGTATGTAGTCATAGGCCGAATCCACAATGTACAATATACCGAAATCCATTAAAGCAATCCCAAGTGTTTTATTTCCTCTTTTGAACTAAAATGCCCCTAATCCAATCAGCACGCACAACTAACGCGGAAAACTCTTCTTATTGTAGCCAAATTCGACTACCAGATCAGCGTGGATGTCGGCGAGGCCACCATGCAGTTGGCCAACGCCTCGTCCGGCGGAGTGGTCAACAGCAACTCCCCCTTCTTCATCGTCAGCAAGTACGGCACCAAGCAGATCATGCTCAAGCAGCACACCTTCAATCGTCACATCTGCCGGGACGACGTCACCTATTGGCGCTGCAGCCAGGTAAGTGTATAATCTGAGCTATACATTTGTAAGATACATTTTAGGCGTCCTAGTATTTAGCTTTGAATTCTTCTAAATAATGCTAGAAACAGAAAAATATAGAGATAATTACTATTTAATCTTAGTCGAAATGAACATTAATGGAGTCTACTTTTCTGAGTAATAATAATAATCATGACTCCACTTATTCTGAGAAACTATTACATTTTTAGTTATTTTTTGGATGCTGAATTGTATATATAATAACATATAATTATTAAAAAAAAATTTTTTTAGCAATACAAGCCAAATCACTAGTCAATGTATTCACTGTGGTTCTCCTTTTAGTTCGCAGTGTTGCGATGTCGCGCGCGGCTCAAAACCAAATTGGATACCCTCACCATCCTAAACAGCGAGCACAACCACGAAGTTATCACCAAGGCGCGAAAGTACGGCTCTCTGAAGCGTCAGCGGGCGGAAGCAGAGGCGGCGGCCCGGGCGGAGCGTCGCCAGGACCCCCTGGAAACGCCTGCCACTTCAGCGCCACCAGCATCGACATAGCGCCCTAGTCTTAAGTCCAACTGTAAAATACTGCATCACCTCAACACTCGTCTGACTCAATAAAATACAAGTTAGCTAAGTTTCTCGTTTTCCAAGCGTCTCTTTGCCCTCTAGCTTTAGATCTGAGTCCTACGCTTTCACTCGTTTGTACTAACCAAGTGTGTCTACTTTTTATTCACAGATTCTGTTGCGTACTACTCGTACATCACCGGCTTTCGAGGGAGTCGAAAACTGAAGATCGGAGAGTTCACCTTCACTCGAAATAAGACATCGGGATTAAAAACTTATTGGTCTTGCGCTCGAGCGGGTGCTCACAAATGCAAGGCCCGTGTGGTTACCGGGCAAGACCACGATGTGACCATAAAATGCGGGCAACATAACCATCCGCCCTACTAAGGAAAATATATTAAAACCGGCCAACTTAGGCTCATTGTATAGAATCAATTTATAGCCTATTTATTATAGAATATAAATCTGAAAAATCAAAACCGTATTTTTTAGAATTCGCACTTCAAAAGTCTTCATAATTGTAGTCCTTGTATTTAAGCTTACTCAAAGGTAATTTGTTATTTTACAGTATTCGAAGATCTGGATGACATGAAGGGCGCCATCAAGCATAGCCTACTCACCTTTATTCGGGGACAGCGTGGTTGCAAACTGCTGGCATTTAATGGACACAACTACGTGCGAAATCGTCGCAGTAACCTGAAGACCTACTGGATATGCTCGAAAAAGGTGAGGACAAATGTATGTAGCCCTTAGGAAACCCTTAGAAAACCTAGCAAGTCGTGCCTTTTTTCAGACAGAAATTAGCTAGTTTCTATCTTTATTCCAGGGCAGCACGAAATGCAATGCCCGGGTAGTCACCAATGTTGTTGAAGGTGTGCACAAAATAGTACTGGAATCGTGCCATCACACCTGCCTGAACACGGAGCGAAAAAAGCGGCTGTCAGTAACAAACGTCATGGGGAAGGCACGAAACAAGTCGGGAAAATCTGTAGCCACTGGCTTCATAAAGGAGGAGGGTGACGAGGATCTAACACTAGAGCTAAGGACACTCAACTTAAGCATCGAGGACCTTAACAACTTGCAATGAATCGAGACTCAAAATCTAGCCATACCTTGCGATTTAGGAGTAGACTATTTATGTGTGAACCTAAAATAAATTGTTTGTCTTGTGTATTTAAGCAGAAATGTACTATATGATTTAAAAAATTCTGTGCCTGTGAAATTTTTATTGTGTTACCTTATACTAATTCTGCCTGTTTTTCTTTTTTTAGTGACATTCGATGTAATAACCGTTCCGCTAGTAAAACCCGAACAACACCCGCTGATGAAGCGCGTTCGATTGTCCAAATCTATGGAGGACGTACACTATGTTCGTACTCCAGCCGGAAATGGTGTTTTGCACTGTGGAGAGCATCGTTACCTGCGGAACGCCGCCTACAAGGACAAGGTCTACTGGAAGTGCAGCAAGTGGCGCAAACAATGCCGGTCCCGCGTCATTACTCACATCTTGCCCAATGGCCAATCCCGCTACGCCGTCAGCGGGGTGCACAATCATCCTTAGATAAAGAACATTCAGAGGGCTGAATCGGGCCACATAGATAGCTATAGAAATAAAGCACCCATTTGTATAGAAAAGAATAGTAAACAAAATTGAACCGATATCCATTCCTAGTTCTGTGCAGTAACATCATTTAATTTATCAGATCTTAAGCTTGAAATATAAACAGGTTTAGGATTTTATTGCAGAGGACAGTCCTTGCTAAGCTCAGGTGAGTGTTCCAATGAATTTGTTTAAAACTGAACTGTCTCTTCTTTTATTTTATTTGACTTAAATATATGTTTCTTTATAAATGTTGTTCCGCTGTGCGGTGTTGTTTTCTTTTACACTTAGAATATATAGCATTTTACGTTCACACTTTAACATGTTTTTTCTTTTCAGGTTTGGGTGAACTTGATCCGAGTAACCTGGCTGACTTTGGAAACGAAAGCTTCTTGCCCAAAACTCAGGGTACACGGCCACAAAATGTTCGCTGTGGACTGGCGTCCGAACAGAAGTGCGTCCGCACCCTGGACGACTGGGATCGCATTCGGTATGATCGGACCAAGAGCGGCGATATTCTGCTCTACGATGGATATCGCTATGATCGACGGGCCAGCTACAACGATATCATGTACTGGGGGTGCGCCAAAAAGCGATTGAACTGCAACGTTTACATGATTACCCACAAAAACAAGCCCACTTATGTAGCCATTTCAGGCGTCCACAACCATTTGTAGACAGGCTCGCATTTCTGTTTTACCAATAAACATACATTTCTTTGTTTGAAAGCTAGATTAGTAGTTACCACAAGTGCCTTTTAAAAAACATTTTCAGGGTTTTTGTTAATCGCAATGACTAATTATCTGTTTAATCCTTTTAGAACTAGCTGTTTTCGGCACTGGACAACGGGGAAGAACCGTGCTGCTTTTTCAGAATGAGAAATTTGTTAAAAACCGATGTTCCGCCTCTCGTACCTACTGGATATGCTCGAAAAAGGTAAGTTTACCCATGAGTCTTTTACTGGAAAGGTTTTTTTACTAGGTTTTTAAAGTGTGCTAATCATTCTTCATGTTTTAAAGTCTTTGCAAAGAATTTTATAATATTTTCTGTAATTTATTTATTTCGAAAAATATATATTCAAATGCAGACTCAAAACAAGACTTTATAAATGATAAATTTCTAAAGAAAAAGAGAATTTGAGAAAGCACAGAGATTTCTTGTTATACACTTACTGCTTTGTGTTAGTACTATATTTTTTAAGATTTTTTAAATTGGAGAGGAGAAGTAACGAGCTATTTCCTTGTCCCACCAACAGGATGTGACGGTCTGCAGAGCTCGTGTCGTGACCGCGGTCGACAAAAACGCACAAGACCGAATCATCAAATGCACCTATGAGCATGATCACAGCCGGAAATTCCCTAGCAACAACATAAACCTGCCTGTTCTCATAAAAAGGGAGAAAAAGGCGCTATCCCTGGATTCTTCCTAAGCTTACATCTAAGTGCACACTGTCAAATCCACTAGACATTTAACAATCTTTTCACTCTTAAATAAATGACTGCTTTAAATTTTAAACAACATTTAAGAGGAACTACATATTTTTTCATAAGGATAAACCTACGCTTGCGACGTAGCACTTACACAAATTCTCAAACTAATCCAGACTTTCTGTTTCATTCCCAGCCTTTCACATTGACTTCGCGGACTCGAAGAAGAACGGCGGCAAGTTGCTGGTGATCAATGGCTTCCGCTTCTTTCGAAACAAGAAGCGTGGTCATCTGCAGTACTGGAAATGCCGGAATTATTACAAAGAGCGTTGTCCTGCCATCGCCATCCATGACGAGTCCACCCTCATCCTGCGACTGTGTCACCAGCACCAGCACACGGAAAGCAACGACATCGAGATCAAGCCTCTGCCTGGGTCAGATACAAAGTTATCGGAATCCGCCGAGGATGAGGCACAAGCGGAACCAGAGGCTGAGATGGATAATGAAGCAGATCCGGAGCCTGAGCTTGAAACCCGTGAACCTCCTCCTCTTATTCTGGAGCCACCGCCACTCCTTGAAATAAAATCGAAACTAAGAAACCGGGACTTCTAGCCGTGATTAGATATTGCTTAGCACCTAGTCCATAAGCCTGTAAAATATGTGTATTAAAGCGAAGCAATGTCAAATGTTTTTTAATACCTCTAAGCATCAGTCTAAACCAATTTAACTACCTTAGCTTAAGAAATTAGATCAAGTTACTAAATCACTTCTTCTGTATTCGGTGTTCTTCCAGAATACGACTACGGACATGGACAGTACCGCGGCAACAATCCGCTGATCCAGTTTTCAGTGTCCAAGCGTGGCGGGCAGCTTCTCTGGCTAGACGGGATGAAGTTCTTCCGCAACAATATAAACCGCACAAATCTGTACTGGCGCTGTCATTGGTATTATCGCCATACCAAGTGCCCGGTGCTTATTTGCATGAGCAAGACAAACAGCAACGATTTCCGACAGATTCACGACCACTGCCACATGCGACCGAAGCGTAAAGAAAAACCCGGAACGGGAGTGGGTCCCAGAATAAGGACTCCTGTGGTGTCCAACGTGAGGAGTCTTCCGCAGAGCATGGCGCACATGTTCGATATGTAATTTAAGAGACTTTCTCAAAAACATGTTAATAAAACAAGACGAAACCTATGAGACACCTACATAATTGTCCACTTTCTTGAATGTATAGTTGTATTAGCCAGTACTTTCGACCATACCTAATCCCTTCTTCCTTTATTGCAGTTGTTCTGGCCAACGACGAGGTGCCCAATCCGGAAGATGTACTGGTTTTCTTTACGCAATCGCTGCGCGGTCGCCCCGCCATCATGGCAAATGGCATTCGCTTTCTAATCATGAGCGAGAACAAAAAGAAGATCCTGTGGCGCTGCAGCTCGATGGCCACCAAGAAGCTGAAGTGTCCTGCACGCATCACCATGCTTAAGGAGACGCCGCCCAAGTTCATCATCAACAAAGCGGAGCACCTGCACGCGGAGCTCAAGCGGAACAAGTACAGCTCTAGCAAGGCGCAGACGCTGCGGGAACCGCACCAAATGGCCCCCAAATTGGACTGCGAGATGGAGGGAGCTGGCGGCGTCATCTTCGATATCCACGGGGAGGAGCTCAATGACCTTACTCACGACGTTTAGGGAGACTGTAGTTGGCATTAGGTGTACTTTAGAGACAAGCAAAAGTGGATCATTCATTCATAATAAATGGAAAGAAACTACATTGCTTGGCCAAACTTTTTTATTAGCTCCTCATCTTCAATTGTTTATGCCTACATAAGGAAACCCATACTAACCTTTTACGTTTTTTTTTATTTTAGAAAACAAACTGGAGTACGTTGTCAGTCAGAAGGGTCACGTCCTGCTGATGCACAAGAAGTTCTCTTACGTCCGAGAGAAGTGCATAAAAGGGAAAACTTACTGGCGCTGCACACAGTACACCACCCGAAGCAAGTGCCATGGACGGCTCCATGTGCTAAATGAAGAAATATTGCACTCCAGAAAACACAATCATTCACCACCTGGCCAGGAGCGAAGGCAGTACATGAAGCTACTATTGAATAATGTGTGAATAATAATATATCATATCATTGCGAATTCCAAACAGTATTGATTTTCTCATGCTGAATAATTATTTTAATTTTGATATTCTCAAATTTAAACCTATACCTAACCTTATTCGTAGTTCAGACAAACATTTATCCATTTTGATTTACTCGTTTATGCAATTAAGAACTTGATGGTTACCGCTGTCATTAACATGAAAGAAAGAAAATAAAATCATTTTATAGACCTAAATACCATAAATATACAACTAAGAAAATAATTTAAATGTGTATATATAAATGTTATTACCACATTCGACAAAAGAAACTTTTAAGTACGTTTGAGTTACTCGATTAAAAAACTAAGACAAACTCTTGAAACTGTGTGTAATAATTTGATCGTCAAGTTCGTCATGTATAATTATTAAGAAAAAGACGTATGTAAACATTAAACATAAGCCAAACCTCTTTTAAGACGAATTCCATATTCTTATTTCCCACTTTAATTTGTGTGTATATATCACTAACACTATATGCTTTCCTTTCCAGGCACGGCACATTTGGCCAGTTTTAGTTGCACCCGAAAGAAAAAGCGTAAGCTGGTAATCGACAGACATGAGTTTGTCATGGATCGGAAACTGAAGAGCAGCATCAACTGGCGTTGTGCCAGATATCGAAGCTCGAACTGCAAGGTCAGGGCCACAACCCACGTGCTGAAGAATGGCCAGGAGGTGTACCGACTGAAATATGCGAAGCACTCACATCTGTGACCTAAGAAACACACACATACCTGTTGAATAAATCTTAAAGCATTTTTATAAAATAAATCATTATTTAATCAAGTTAAACCTTAGCAGATACTTGACAAAATTGCAATGGAATGTGACTTTAGTGGAATTATACCACTAGTTAGGACAGTGGATATATTCACCTAATTCGATTTTAAATTTTAAATTAATTAAGTAAAAGCTAAAAAAGAAAGAAATAAACAAAAGTGCGTGTAAGAAATGTAGGATATATATATACCCTTACATTTTTAATCCTACCTATAACTAACAATCGTGTGATCTTATACTTACAGATATAATACGCAAGCGAGGGATAATGATAGTAAAGGGCACCAAAGGAAAACCCAAACTGCTGATGGGCGGTTACGAGTAAGTCTGTCGTATTGTTATTTAAATAATAATAATTCCATGAAATGCATATACAATGTTACCATTCAAGGTATTATCGCAACAATTCGCGGGGCTCCAAAACTTATTGGCTTTGTGCTCGAAATCGTTACATGCGCTGTGCTGCTCGAATTATTACTTGCTCGGTGACTGGAGAGCTGATCATCAAGAACCAGCAACACAACCACGATACACTCAACCAGCCCAAAGTTGATATAAAGGAGAAGCCACTGCGTTCAAGCCCTAAGACTAAGGATCCCGAGCATTAGCCAATAAACCCCGCGCCATTCCGCTTCAAAAACAGTTTGATGTACCCATCTAGACTTATATATTATATATATATACATATATATCTATAT